CCGAGGGCTCCAATTATGGCCTCCCGGCCTTGGCGGACTTTTTCCGCAAACAGCTTGAGCGCTTTCTGTGAGCGACTCATCTCCAGTCCCGTCCGATCCACTAGGTGTTCTCACATGCACCTGGGATTTGAGCCGTAGCTCCGGGATCTTGACCTTCCGGCCTTGCATTCTCTCAACTCGCCCTAAGGCTTTGGCCTCCCGGCCTTGATATGGAGATTTCTCACTTTCCATCGGCCGCTCACCTGGCGATGGACTCTTCCGCTTGGAGCGCTGCTTGCCAGCAACCTTCCAGTCTTCCTCTGGAATGGTTGGCATGGGCAGCTCCGACGGACTGGGGGCCCTCACAGCTGGCACCACCTGTTGGGCGCTTCTCTCTTCTGCCTCCTGGGCCTGCTGCTTTTGCTTCAGGAGGCGGTCACTCAACGCCTTGACCTGGTCTTCGGCGGAGGTTTTGGCTTCTTGTGCCTCACGGCTCTGCTGCTTCGCCTTCTTCATGGCCAGCTCTTTTTCTCGAGCTTCTTTCTTGGCCTTGTTGACGGCGATCTCCAGCGAGGCGATCCTCTCGGCGGTCTCTTCATCCCGCTTCGCTCTCGCCTTCTCGGCCGCGGTATCCGCCATCTTCTGCGGGAGCTCTTTGATACCAGGGATCTTCAGCAACGTCGCCGCCGCCTCAGCGTCCTGGTCTTGCTCCTGTGTCTTCTCCGCCGCCGGCGGGGTATCCACTTCTTCCATCGGCTCATCTTCTGCTGCGGGTGCTGATGTGGCTGTGGAGGGTCCAGCCATGTCCTCCCGGACTGTTACACCTCCTGGCCCATCCCGGGCTTGTTCAGTTCCTTGCCCATCCCGGGCTGTTTCGATCGCCTGCCCATCCCGGGCTTGTCCTTCCCACTGCCCATCCCGGGCTTGTTCCTCCGATTCCTCAGCCTCCATGGAGGAGGCCGGGGAAGGGCTCCGGCGTCTCGTACTCTCGCGCGCTCCCAGGTGGAAGCGTGGCCGCCACCCTCGGGCGGCTCCGAAACCAAATGTTACGAATAGGATCTGGGTGTGGGGTTCCTGCCCTCTTTGAGCCGCGGACCCGCCTCGCCGGGCACCTAGGTCCTTACAGGGCACCTAGGCGGGACCACCCCTCCTACTCCCGTATCCTAATAGGGATAAAGGTTACATTGGGTGATGAATAGTACGTGCCTTGGGCAGGGCGTCCCCCACACCAAGGGCCATTAGTAGGACGTCTCCCACATCAGGCTGGTGCGCGTAACATGGACGGTGTGGCATTTTGGGAATCGCTGATCGAAGTGAAGAGTTGGTGTTGTTGAGCGTTGTACAGACGTTGTGTAAGTCCTGTGGGTTGGCTGCCTGCGTGATTGAGCATCGTGATTGTGAGTTCCAGACAGAATTGTTGAGCCGTCGTTCTGACCGACTCCTGGCTGGAAAAAGGTGGCCAGAATCAAATTGCATGTCCCTTGAGCTATCTCTGAAGTTGACTTTGGAAGTCAGCTGTGTTCCCCTAGCACAGCAAAGCCAGGAAATGGTAAATCCAAGGCAAGTGTCCTGCTGCCCCTCGACCACTGACCAGGAAAGCGGGAAGCAGCGGAAAAGAAGGCGTGAGGTGGCAGAAACTCCAGAGAAAATCGAAGGAATCCCTTTCCTGAAGAGAGCGGCGGTTGAGCGTGTTTGGGTGGAGCAGAGGAATCTCCCACCACATATCCTTTCAGTCCCAGAAGTCCGTCACCTCCCCTTGGAAGTACAATCATTCCTTGCTGCTCATTGGGCAGATTGTGAGCGCTCTTTTCAGGAAGCCGGAGACTTCATACGATAGGAACTGACAACGACTCTGCGGGAAAACAGAGTGGTGCGGGCGGCTGCTTCAGGAAAAGTGGACAAAGAGGGTGATTCTGATCGGTTTGGCAACAGAGAGGTGGAGGAGAATTCCAGCTCAGGGGAAGAGATCCCTTCAGATTGTGAAATACAGGGGAGTTGTACGGAGGGTATTTCGATTGGGGAGTGAATGTCTGGGGGTTGTCTTTGCTATAGTGACGATATCGTGGTGTGGACAAGTGGAGCAAGGGTAGTGGTGATTGTCCAACTGTGTTTGATTGAGGGAACAGTCGTTGTGATTGTTGTGGTGAAAAACCTCTTGTAAAATTCTTTTGTCTCAAGGGGGTTGTGTCTCAAGGGGACCGTGACCTACTGGCCATATCATGGCGGTCACAAACAGGGTCCTTCAACAATGCACAGACGCTCTGCCAAACGGGGGTAGGTGGTGGGATGGGGCAACGATAGGAACATGAAGCAGGCGTTGGCCAGAGAGAGAGAGTCGATGTTCCAAGAGTCTAATCGTAAACTTGTGAGGGCACCCCTTTTGTTATAGAATAGTGGATCAACATCTGCAGTGCTGTTCCTGTGTTGACCACTATTGCTCCAGCGCCAACAAGTGGCAAAAGCAGCGAGGAATGGGTATCGTGCATTAAGTTCTACTTTGAAGCATGTTGCACGCTTGATTGCTAGTTGACAACACTCTGCCCGTCACTGTACTATCACAACATTGGACACGAAAGTGTAGATTGTGCACAGGCGTTTCAACATTGTCATTAGCAATTTCGATTGCCAATACGTTAATGTTGAATTAACTAATTTCATCTGACAATCAGATTCTTTTGGATCAATTACGCTATTTTCCATTACATGTCGCCTTTGGTTGGCCTCAAAAGCGCTTGTGCTAGTTCTGGGAATTTTTGTCCAATTTAGGTCAATTTTGCGACAAAGATTCAAATTCTATTGGCAGCACAGCACCAACTCTACATCCTTTGCCCTTAATGCAATGTTGCGAATTGGGAAAAAATGATATCAAATATATAATTGCTTAACTCCGGCCAGTGATTGGCACATATATTCTGTGGCACTGAAGTACGCTGATGTGTTCGCGACAATTCAGCGGGGCGTGGATCTAATTAACTATACTTAACAATTAAAGATTGGGCAGCTGTCCGAACATTGTGATTGTCGTGAGCATGGCAGGAGGGCTCGCCAGAAGCGAGTGTGCTTTGGTAGTCTTTGGAGATCCTAGAATTGCCAACGGGACGCCCGGGGAACGGTGTTGGCAGCAGGCGCACATCGCACATGGTAGCCTATCAACGCACTGTATTACTTGGCTCTTGCACTACCATCAAAGCAGCAACAAAATACTAGTACTGGCCCCATTGCTAACAATGCCCTGGGAGAGTGGTACTGCTTGCATTGGTGAAATGCAGCACCAACATCGCATGTGCCAATATGCCAATCGTATGCTCACTGCGCCAAGCGCGTCCGCAGGGAGATATTACATTCATTTTCTTCCTCATGCAAAACTGCGCAGTTACGTATTTCTTTGTTGTTACAAATCAGGAGCCTGTTTGCAACGGTTTCTTTGATTCATGTAGGCTCCGCAACATGCTTCATGTGTGATTTTCCCGGCCTACCGTGCATGACATTGCTCGCCATATTCGGCCGGTCGTGGCGTTCCACGGAGTTGCCAAAATTTTACGGCGCTGGGGGCGCTGTGATGCTGTAAGGTCACTTTCTGCGTTCGATGGTGCATGCGTGCACGTGCGCTGCTATGCGTGCAGCAACACGCAGCACGGCTTAGATGTTGTGTCACCACCAAGTTCCGTGAAAGTACAACAATCAGCGCTTTGTTTTCTCGGGACGCACGACAGTAAGAGGGAGTCAAATTGCCGGGCGCCGGTCATAAAGCGATACTCTATGAGCCCTATAAGTGGTGCATCCTAAAGTCCTCAAAAAGGAGTTTGGCCCCCAACGCCATGAAGATGATATCCTATGCCACACAGGCGCCTTGTCATCTCTCAAGGAAAGCTTGTCCTTAGGGAACATTACGTCGACTGTAGTGTCAGTTTGACTCCATGGTACACAAGTGTGCATCATCCATCAAGGTATGCATAATCCATCACGTCGACATTTTCAGTGCGCAACACGGGCAAAACCGGTCAACTGTTCAGGGATTGGGGACGGTGGGTGGGAAGGGGGCCCACGAGTTTGCAGGGCGCCTTCTGGCGTCCAATGCCAACTGTCGCCTCTCATGGACGCTGAGCGCTCAACTAGGTGATGTCATTCCAGCAAACTCCTGTCTGAAGCTTCTATTCATGCACGCCTGATCCCGCCCACAGGGCACACCGAAAGCTGGTGCCCCAGGAGGGAAACCTCTCTTAAGGCAGCACACGCCTTATAGGTGTGGCTGAGAACAAAGTAAAGGTAATGTGCCCGAGGTCCTCCTTAAGTCCTTAACACTGGTTTCCAATGCAATTGCACAATTTTCAAGCGTCTTGAACCGGGTCCCCTACATTTCAGCGCGAAAACGACGTTAAGCGTGCTGAAATTGCTGTTCACGTTCCTGTTTCAAAATGCAAGTAAAACTGAACGCAAACCTCCACGAACCCTTCTCTTGTTTCTACCACTTCTCATTTTGTAAATTAGGAGCGTTGTGGTGGCCATGGGCGACGACATGTCTGGTAAGTAAATCATGTTGATCAGTCCCAGCATAATGGATTGGCGACGATAAAAACAAGGGACACATGATCTAGTTGCTCTTGCACAGATGTGGGGCAGAGACTGCCATTCTGGTTTAAGACCTGGGATGCAAAGGAACAAATGGAACAGCTACATTGACAGCAGGCAGAGCATCCACTTGCTGGGTATTAATATGTGTGGGTGCAGGGCGGCACACCCACAAAAACGAACGTGTTATTGACCAGCATACGGCGGCAGGGTTAGCATTTCACCTGTGCGTGGAAGCCTCTGAAAAGCACATGCCAGCATTTGACCGCCATATGGCGGCCTTCCACGACTATATGGCTACTTCCTCGCAGTGGTGCAGCATATCTTATGATGATGATGGGGCAGCATCTGCGCGTGTGCGCCGTTCAAATGCACATGTTGTCAGTTTGCTGTTTGTTGTCCGCTCATCCAATTTCCAGTGGCCAGTGGAAACATCATAAGCCCACAGCTGATTACATTTGCCTGGCTTCACAATCATAACAACAAATCCTGTAATTTGGGAACTCGCCATTTAGGTTGTGGAGAGAAACTGTAAAGGTGCTCCGCTGCTCTACACAAAGCCAGCAGCACTGATGTGGACGAATATTGAACCACCCAGAATCAGTGAACAATTCCGGCCTGCCGGGAGCCACGCGTCCTTCGCACTTGACAGTGCAGCACAGCCTTGACAACCTGTCGCAAATGCTGCCGTGCGTCGCTGCCCAATCGGGTGCAACCCAGCTCACGCCTCGCCTCACCCGCCTCGCCAGCGTCTTAGTCACAGGCTTGGTGGCCATCGCACAATTTGACAATCGCCGCTGTCGTCATGCACAAAGCTTTGTGCCTTAAATCATAGCCTTAAGGGGTATGAAGAATCCATTTTTCCTGGGCGATGGCCTCGGGTTCTTATACATTGGTTGCCTTCAGTGGCTGAGAAAAAGGCGTGATGGACACTCTACGCGTTCCGCGGACGGTTCATGACTTGTAAATTCGAAACCTTTGCATAAACGAGTTCCAATTTAATGAAAAACTTTCTTCCTGGAGTGTCTTCATGCTCGCTAGCCATATCAAATGTTCATCCCGCCCACCGTCAGGGACCGAAGCGCCATGCAGCCTATCCACAGGACGGCTGCGCCGCCATGGAACTAGATCGGCGTCCCCAAGTCCGCAGGATTCAGGTTTGGGAAGAGGGTATCCGACAGCGAGCCACGAGCGGGAACTTCACCGACGCTCCCGACGCTTGTGCCGCCGCAGCGTGCTCGCACACACGGTTGCACTTCTGCTTGCAGCTCACCACGTGTCCCACAGCAAGCCTGTATGCAGGGTCACCTTGGACCGCGAGGCCCTGTCGAAGCACCACACGAAGGGCTGGCAACAAACTTGGTTGACATTTCGGCTACTGTTTTCACATTGAGTGAGAGAAACGGCAGACCGCGGCACTGGCAAAGAATGGGCGTTTACGTAATCTGTTTTCGTATTACCTAGCACCCAACTTACGAAACATGTGTACATCAACAATATGCACTTCATTTAATATTGCAAATTGTCAATACGACCCATGACAGACACACGAACAGCGAAGCGTACAACAACATAAATCGAACGAACCGAGCCTCGTCATCGCTACGTGTGCCTTTGGCGCCATTTTCATCAATGCCTGGGCGCTCCAGGGACCGGCGCACCAGTGGGGCCAAGTCCAGAAGTTTGTGAGTTTTTCTGTCGCTGTCAATGCTCAATGCTTCTCGCTTGTCACTCAAATGCATGCTTGCTTGCCCGGGATACTCTGGTAAAATTCGCTATTGCTCAACACCGATTGGAAATGGCACGTAGATCTGCGTACCTATACGTGCTCTCGATGGTGGCTCTTAATACACGACAAGTCATTTGCAGTTCTCGCAGTCATGGGATTGAACAGAAATGGCCCCCGGCAAACAGGCCCGCGCAGTGACTCCTGCGCCTTGAGTCTTTTGTAATGGCTTTGGATTTAGCGGCAGTGTAGCGGTATTTCGAAGTGTGATAGCGGGGCGACCGCTATCGCCACATCAGATGGCGGCCAGTGCGGTAGGGAGGGGCTGGCGTCCCATCCTTGTACATTACGGAGGGATGCTGTCATATCAACGGGGGATATCGTTACAACCATTGAGTCAGCAATCCCAGATAGCGACATCAGCGGCCTTCCCTGAGATACCGTAGTATATTCAACTCTACCTCACAGTAACGCAGCGTTCGGCCGTTTTTTGCGGAGAAACAATACTATAAATAACGCTCTTTCCACAGAACTTTTGGCGGAGCAACACAAAAAAACTGAAAATAATGATTGAAAAAAATGCGGAGCAAAAAGCGTCACGGTAAAATTTTTGGATGCGGAAGGGCTGAATACATTACGACAGCAATCACAGGATGATCCTGCTCACCATATTGATCATCTCTGGTGTACTGACTTGATACCTTGGATTGCACAGCTGCCGAGCTATTTTTATTAGCGCGATATGGCGGTTCCTTGAAACCACATAATATTGCTGTGTTCCAAGGATTACGTTCAATACAATACAATGTTCCTCAAATAAAAGTGCCAATTGAACAGCGCACATTTAGTCAGAATCGAGGCCATCTGGCTTTGCCTTGGCATGTGGGCGGAGCTCGTCAGCGCTGGCGGAGCCCCCATGACTTCCCCGCAGCAAACCCAAGGCTCAACCCCGCCTTAATTTAACAATAGGTTTTCTACCATTTTCAGCCTACCTCGTGCACTAGAAAACTTGGATATCATTCCACAATTCCATGTGCACGTCCCTCCATAGTTCACTGGACTTTCAGCTGGTGCTGCGGCAACCCTTTGCAGTGTAGTGATGTGGATTTGTGGCTGTCAACTTATTGCGATTGTTGCCTACCGTTCCTTGCCAGGAGTGTGGAGGGTCGACACGAGAAGGCTATGCTGCTTGGGAAGAATGCTGATGAGAGTGAGATTGCTATTGAACCAAACCCGGGTTGGGAGCAAATCAAGACGTGGTTGATGTTTTAAACAATAGTGTGCTAGACTACGGAATTTCAAGAATGTATCGATTCATCAGTTCATGACATCAGCAACGATTGCGCCGGGCTTAGATTTTGGCCACAAAACACAGTGTGTTGGCGCACCTGATCGCGATGCGCCACTATTGTTCGCTGTCTACCATCTGCCATGGTAATGTCCACCTCTTCTGGGTGTCCAGCTTTCAATCTGATGCTCCTGTAGCCCTCCAGTGGCTGGCAATCCAGAAAGGCCAAGACAACGTCGCCGTTTTCCATCATGGTGGCTCTGCCGACAGGCGACAGGTATATGACTTTCACTGCCTCCGCAGCAAGGTCATCAACAAACCTGCCACGAAACCATCATCACGCTCCCAGCACAACATGCCATCGACACAAAATTCTGCTGCCTGTAGCTTCATCATCGTTGCGCATGATGTCTTCTGGACAACACGGTTCAGTCACCAAATACGTACGTACGATGGGGTGGGCATGATTTCCGGAACAGTTGTGATTTGCAAGTCACTGCAGGGTTTCAGAACAAAACCTAAGAAACACAAAATAACACAGATTGTTGGCCAAGTCAATCGTTTCTCAGCTAATTCCAGGCGACATTTCAGCACTGCTCAGACGCATTTGGCTTTGTGTAGTTGCATCAAATCCCCAGACATGTTGTTCCGTCACTTGGAACTAGGTGTTCTACTTCTTCCCAACTTCAACGATGCTGCTGATTCCACAGCACAGCTACGCCAGATTTGTCGATCTTGTTCTGCGTGGCATTGCATGAGTAACCAACGCTCAAAAAGCTGTTAAGCATTGCGTGGTTCATCGCTATCCTCAAACGCCGCTTGAGTACGGATGTTTCAAGTTTAGGATTCAGAATGTCCAGCACTGGGCAGCAGCTGGAAAAATGCGCACCAGGATGGCTTGCCCAACAGCATGGCACACTGTCACACAAAAAGCAATTCTAGCCTCCCAAGCACATGAAGACTTCAGCCACCAAGCACCGTGTGCCCAAACCTCATCAGATGCGGCAGCATGTTTGTTCGTTTCAAAGCAAAATATCGCACCAAAATATTTGATTTGGAATGCCCATTGTCCATAACACGCAATGCCCCTTAAACATTGGGCCAAGGAATTAAGCAGGTTCAAAGGGTGCATCGAACTGGGACCACTCGCCTGCATGCCTGCAGATACTGGTCAGTTGCGTGGTCAGGAAGGTCTGGAAATCGAAATCTCTGGCAGGACTTCCCAGTGCACTCCAGCCGAATGTCAAGGCCGTCAGGAGTGACAAACATTTGGGCACAACCAGTGCCTTCATTGACACACACGCTGCCGTCCTCAAACAGAGCAACGAAGCCTCTAGAGTAACGTCGTACACATGGTGCCAGGCGCGCTGTGCTGCGAAGTCTTCTCAATTGTGAAGGTTTTGGTGTGGGGGACCACTCCCCTCTTTGTCCTCCTGACAATGATGTTCGATCTCGAGAAGCTTCAGTGTTTCCCACGTGAAGATCTCCAATGGCTGTTGGGAGTGGCCAACCAGTTCTGTTGCTCTCAACAGATGCAGCTCCTGTGCTATGGCGCCATTCTTTGGCGCCCAGCCCAGGCAGCAACTGACAGCTCTTGGCCAATTGGCATCCCGCGTCCCCAGAATTGCCACCCATCGAATTCACAATGTTGCCTGTGATTTCATAAAATGCCTCACATTCTGGCATAGGACCACAGCGGGAAACACTCCAAGAGCTGGACATTTTGTCGTGAAAGTCAAATTCGCTTGATTGCATCAAAGAGGGAGGAAGAACACGCATTTGTTCGCTGGAAGCACTGAGAGCGCCAGGGTTTCCAGGAGGAACACAGTCATTGCCTCTGCATGATCCAGCAATAGGTGCTGGCAGGCAGGAAGATGGAGAGCCAGGCATGGCAGTAGCAAAAGTTGCCTCCTGTGACACCACACCCACTATTGGCGATGCCTCTCTGGCATTCCCAGATTGCTGGCATTTGACTGCTTCACTCCCACATTTTGCATCTCCTGTTTTCTGTGGAGCATAATCGTCTGTCTGCTTCCCTCCTAAACCTTCACCATGCAGTAAGCTGCTGTCAGTAGGGGCGTTGCCAAAGGTGTGGCCGTGGGTGCCTTTACTAGCAATGTACATAAGAGGTGCTTCACTGGGCGGACAGTACATTGTCCTGTTGTCAACAGCTGGTGTTCCCTGCACTACAGGGGCTTGACTGCACTGTGCCGCTCCTTTTGACCATCCTGCCTGTTGGCTGGTGCGCTGCCCGTCATCAGCATGAATAAGCCCTGCAGGTTGCCTTATGCCAACACTGACACCTATCTCCAAAGGCCCATGCTGCGTGGGAATGTAGGGATAGCATTGCCCCAAACCCACCGGAACACCCACTGCCAATGTTCCTACTGATGGATGGACAGGAGGTGCAGCACCCATGTCACCCGGACGTTTGTGTTCGACAGCTGAAAAAGGTGTTTGAGGAGCTGATTTTCCACTGGATTTTCTTGAATCTTGGGATTCCAGGACCATTTGGCTTGGGGCCACGTCCCGTGCTGCGTTTGGCTGAGCACCCATCGAATGTGATCCTTCATCTGGCAGTAGGACATTGCTGTGATCCTGCAAAGACAGATGGGGTTGAAAGATGCCAAGACCTGCACCAAAAATGGAAGTTGTCAGGGACAGCTTCCAACCTTCGTCTTTTGCAAATTTTATCATGCCGCTGCGAATGTTCCCTCAGTTTTGCACATTTTCCGTTGCAGATAGTCCATCCCTTCAGCTACAACGCTGCTGCTGCTGAGAAACGAAAACAAAAATCATTGCCTCTATGTGTGCACAAACTGCAAGGTCATCAATCAGCTGTGGGCACAATCATAGTGACTTGCAGAGGAACACACATTTACCTGCTAGGAATGGATGCTCCCTGACTTGCCTCATGGAAAATCTTTGCGTTGGGTCTCTGTGAAGCATTCCCTGCAAGAGGTTGCATGCATGAACAGACATCCAGTGGGGGCATGTGAATGTGCCTGCTCTCACACGATCCAATGTACCAGACACCTGACAGCGGCAAAGGCAAGGTTGCTTGAGCCCACAGCACCAAAAGAATTGTTATCAGGCCACTGCAACTGCAACATCCACAGATTATGCACAACACAAGAATGGACATGACACTGAGTCATTAATCTGAAGGATAATGTCCATGGGAGTGGTCACAGACAACACACGGTGATTGCACATATTTGTTTTCATTACCATACAAGTGTCTGCATATGACTGTCAGCATTGTCAAATACCTTCAAGGAAATTACACCAGGCCATTCCTTCTGCACGCGAGGGGCCATTACTGATATCATCGCAAACAGGTACAAATTCCCCACTTCCTGATAATCGTGCTGGGCTCTGCCGTGCGAAATCGGCCACTCGAACATGCACCCCCAAAGCAACCCCAACTGCTCCCATGCTTCAACATCGGAGACGCAGCTTACCACTGGAGTACCTGGTCCTCCTGAAACGGCGGGGTGCCCACAAGCATGGTCCACAGCACAATACCCATGCTCCAAATGTCAGCACCAAAGGAGTAGGGCTTGTTGGTCGCGATCTCTGGTGACAGGTAGTTCGGAGTGCCACACAAGGTCTGCCTCTCTGAGTCTTCCTTTTCCAGAATGGCTGCCAATCCAAAGTCGGCAACCTTCAAGTCGTTGTCGCCTGTGAGGAGAAGGTTGGCCAGCTGTGGAGCCAGGGATGGCAGACAAAGAGATAGGTTACTGGGGCCTGCCAGCAAAAGAATATGACCAAGCCCTTTTGGGTGTACATGCTACCAAGTGGGGTGCGTCAGCAACAGCAACATGGGGTCTTCTGTGACAAACAAGCACAGAACACCGTGCATTGCATATGCGATACAAATGGAATGACAGGGACTTTAGTTTTGCTTCAAGCACTGCATGAAAGTTACTGCTAGATGCTGAGAAGAGCAACAGCAACCAATTGTGCAGGTGTGGTGGCCAACAAATGGAGCGCTGTATCCTAAGTACAACAAGCAGGAATATGTTAGACCCTTCTGAACGTTGGGGCTTGCATGAATTGACGTGTCCTTAAAGGTACATCATGGACAGACTAGTCAGTGAAACAGTCACTACTAAAATCGGTTGATCAGACAGTGCAGGTTTGCAATGAGTGTACAAGAGCCATATAATGCTCACCAAAACAGCGCTCACACGACCGCTTTGGAACAACACACTTCCAAAATACTCATTGGCCTTCACATCCTTCACCTCTTCACAATTTTCTGTCTAATTTGCCAAAAACAGCAAGTACAGCCAAAGGAAATATGTAAGTGAGTTCAACCAAGGTTTGATACTACACTGCTCTTACAGAGAACATCGAATAGGGCCTATGACAAGACAGGCGCTGCTGTCAATACACATATTTAATGTCCATGCGACTATGCTCTCTGCATCCAACCCTACTGCACTATACCATGAGCTTCACTATTGTTGAATTCACAGGGGTGCCCATGTCGTATGATAACAGAACACACGTATAGATTCCAGTGATGCAGGGGAGTTGAGGCAATCAACACCCACGCAGCACTGCAACCTGGTTCATTGGATGAGGGGGATGCATGACCGTTGGACTGCAGCTTTTATACCTGAGTCACTGACACACTCTATAGCAAGTGACAAAGGGAAATATAATCTTGTGAGATCAAGAACAAAATTCGTTTTCAGTAGCTTAGTACTGCGCATGTGGATGTCTACAACACTAGTTGTCCAAGTTCTTAACCATTAAATGTATATGGGTGCCGGACGCCAGACATAAACATGAAGATGAAGATCTGCACAACGGACACAGCCTGGATAGTGAGTCATATTGTCCCAAAACGGAGAGAGCTGTTGGTGAAGTGTTAGACTTGCCTTGATGTCCCTGTGCATGATGGAATGTGCATGCAAATGGCCAATGGCATCAACCAGTTGCTGGAAATATGCACGTGCTTCCTCCTCCGCGAGGGAGCCCTTCCTGCGAACAAGTGTGAGCATCTCTCCTTTCTCACACATCTCCATCACCAGATACACCTTGGAAGCGTCCTCAAAGAAATCAAGGAGGGAAACAATGTGCTTGTGCCTCAACTGCCCATGGATCTGTGTATGTCCACAGAGACAAAATGGGAACAGGGTAAAACAAGCCTGCACACTGTTGTATTGACACTGGTGATGTGACAAGTTTGATAATGAAGACAGGGACATGGTGAATATATCCGATGGTGTGCTTACGATTGCCTTTGCTTGCATGTTCACACGTTCAGACTGATTTCACTAGGATTGTGTCTTGAAGGGATATTATAGCAGTTTGTCACACAAACATTTCAAGAATTGACACAAATTTCGAACCCAGATATCACCAACTTCTATTCTTTGTGGCGCCAGGAATCTACCTTGGGAATATGCATAGACGATGTGTGTAAACACACGCAAAGTCATTGCCTGTCTGCCTATCAGGCAACATTGTGGGGTTCCTTTCAAACATAGTGAGTTGTGACAGAATGCCGCCGATGACACGTGGCTGCACTCAAAAAAGGCAGCAGTGGAAGATTAGGAGCTATGTCGGATCCCAGCTCCAGTGGTGGCAACCAGCTAATGCTGCAATCCTTTTTGTGAAAACCTCATCCATTGAGATACATGGTTGTGCAATCCAAACACAAAATGCTACATCACCTGATTGTACAACAGCTTTCAGCAACGAGACTGCAGCGCTCACATTAGCAACCCCATGGCCTCCAAAAAACTGAAATACTCAGATTGCCACAAGTGCATGCTTGTGGCAGGACAGCAAGGGAAGACTGACTGGCAAGCTCTCTGGCAGGCTGCATTCATTGTGATGCGGAAAGTGGGCTACAGTGGAAAGATGCACTTCTAAAGTTTACAGGCCAACAGTCACACTGTGCTCATGTGAGCAGGGGGCTGCACCCCTGACTACCCAGTCATGGTTTTTTGCTCCAAGAATGACAAAGTTAGCAAGAGATTGCAAACAAGCAGTGGATAATCAGAGAATATGAGCATCAAGTGACTGTGGTTGTGGTGACCGGGAGAATCTCTATGAGTGCTCGCTGGAAGCACTGGCACAATAACATCAGCTCATCTGCTGCGCACATGGCTTCATATCGATCACTGCAACTGATTCTGTTGTGCCAGGCAGAAAGTGCTTGTAATGCTCAGGTGCCTCCGAGCATTGGCGAGCGTCCTTGTGGGCAACGCTCTAGGATCGGAAGGCTGCCGCGACAAGGCCTCAATGGGAACGATCTCTTGTCTCTTTCCCGATGTCGTCGTTGCCGCTCCGACTGTTCCGCTCTTTTCTTGCGCACACTGCCAGAAAGCCGCAGTGCGTTTCCATGCCCCCTCTCCCCGCGTCCCTGGCCCCACAAGCTCACTGCTCGCAATCCCAGTCAAGCCCCACCTGGACCTCCCTCTTCAGCCGCTCACGCGCCCCCCTGGATCCAAGCCTCGACCTGTCGATCTTCCCAAGCACAGAGAGGCATCAATCCCCGTTAATGACCGAAACCTATCCCGCACCCCCAACCCCCCTTCACTGGGCACGCACTGCTATTCTAACTGTGTCACCTTGCGCTTGGCATTGCATGACTCGGTCTCCCTCCCATAGCGCCTGAAATACTGGTGGAAAAGGAGGGCATCCGGCTCGTGTTACCCTGCAACCCTCCTGCCCTCTTTTTTGCTCTGTCAGTTACCAAGATGGAAAGGGTCTTTTTATCTTGGGGAGGGATGCTGTTTGACCGTTTCTGTTCCACTCATGCAACTAATCTTGCCCGCCCTGGGAGACGGCAGACTCCGCCCGCGATCCGGCCTCAACTCACAATCTTGATGGCGACTTCCCGCCCCGTCTTCCTGCCGGTCGCCTTGTGCACGTCACCGAAAGTCCCGCGGCCGATCAGCGGCCCCAGCTCGTAGCCGTCCATGGCGAGCCCGCCGCCGCCGATCGTGGGCGGGTCGGAATCACTGGGTCGGCTTCACGCGTCTCCTTATCCTCAAACCGAAGTACCTGCCTCCCGCCCCGCTGCGCTTCCCGGACCCAGGGCCAAGAACGGGGCCCAAGCCAGCGCATGCCAGAAACAGCCACGCTCCCCTCTAATGTACCCCAAATCCCCCCCCTCCCCCACCGTACTTTGGGGATGCGATGTAATTGCTGACGCAGGCCTGCGTCAGGGCCCCGGGGCACCGCGTCCCGGGGGCTCCCCCAATGACCCCGCCGTACTTTGCGAGCGCCAGCCAAAGTACCGACGCAAAGTACTGAGTCCCGGCGCCGCCTCCCAGACTGGCAGCCCATTTTCCCACGCAGACCCCCTGCGGCAGCCAAAATTCCACTCGAGCCCCAATCCGCCGTCATGGCGAAGAAGCCGAGCACGCCGCCAGAGAAGCACGTCGTCGCAGAGGTGGGCCCCGGGAGCCGCCCCAGGCGCGGGCGCCGCCATGCCAATCGGGCCCGGACGAGCGCCGGCGGCTTGTGTTGCGATGAATTTTCTGACCGCCCGTTTGCTGCGGCGCGCAGGCCGGGTCGCAGGCGTTCCGGGTGCTGAACTTCGAGCGTTACGCAGTAAGGACGGCGGCCCCGGCGCCCGTGTTGGCGACCTTCCCGCATAACTTCCGCTACCAGGTTGTTGGGGCCCCCGCGGAATGGGCCGGGCGAGTGGGTGTTGGGTGGAAGGGTACTCAAGGGGTTGGACTGCCCTCTTCCTGCCCTTGGTCCAGGCGGTTTGGTAGAGCAGTGGGACATCGCAGCCAGTGATGCCCAGTTCGATCCCCGGCCAGACATCCTCTTTGCCACCCGCACTAAAACAGTGGGGAACGGGGTGTGTTCCGGTCCGCTGGGGCGTGGGAGATAGGGCGATTGCCGGAAATGATCTGTTGTGCAATCTCGCCGAGCGGCGAAAGATTTGTGGCGCGTGCGGGATCGCGGGGCGCTGCAGTGTGCGGGCAAATGGAGGGTTGTGCGGCGGGATTTTGTGCGGGAGGGGGCGTCGGCCCCGCCCGCCTGCCCTCTCTTGTTGACTCGCGGACTGTTGTGGTCCAGAAACCGACCCCAGGCATGCGGATGTTGTCGTATCTTGGGACGGCCGTCTTCGTTGGATATTTCAGTTACCTCGTGTATCAGAAACAGCAACTGGCCAAGCACTGAAATCGTCATTTGGTATGTTTGATCCTTCGGAGAAACGGGGCTGGTTGTCGATGTGCTGGCTTCAGGGAAATGGAAGAGTCTATGGGATGGGTGTGGCTTGTGTCAGTATCGCAGAGATGATGCCAAATTTGGTTGTTTGTGACCTTCACCCTGGACACTAAGTTAATGCGCATTTTTCTGCATATGCAAAACGATTTCGGCTGCCTGACTGACAGCACGTACGGTTGTGTGCAGCAATTCATTTCCATTTTTCTAGCGGCTGTTATGCACAAACACCAAGTGAGTAAAGCCAGTCATACACATATCTGTTCCATGTTTTGGTTCCAATAACCTGCATTTGCTCAGTTGTTCTTTGTGTGCCCTGGTGTGTACAGATCTGTGAGGCAGACGAAGTGGCTGCTGACACTCCAAAATCGCAGCTGATAGCTCTTAGGGGACTGTGCTACTTGCATCTGCTTGTGTGATCAGTTAAGGCTGTGCATCGTTTAGACGTGCGCTTTCCTGAGAGCCACACCTTACACTCTGGGCGTGTCAAGGGTGTGATGTCAAGGGCAGCACAGGCCTTCCAAGCAGCGAAGGCGCTGTTTGCCAATGGTGCAAAGCGAGGCATCCATGAGGGCCAGTCGGGCCAGCAGAGCATATTGATGGGGACCAAACACATAGGGAAGGAATCGGGGGCGTTCTCCCGCCTTGAGCAGGCGGGGCCTATCCCTGAGGCTAATGGAGCAGGCTCTGCCGCTGCTGCCGACAGAAAAATGGATCAGAGCTCCTCAGGCAGTGTATTCATCCGAGCCCAGAGCTTCATTGGAAACTTTCTTTTTTATGGCATACTGGGGGGCAGCTCAGTTGTGGGGTACTACACCTACTTCTACGACCAGCAGCAGCTGCAGGCGCTGATCGACTCTCGGAAGGACGCCTTCCCCGGGAGCAGCATCTGGTGCCAGACGATGCAGTGGTACCTGGATAAGCGGAAGTACTTTGAGGGCGAGATGCGCAGCTTCGCGAACCCCCGGCAAGACAAGCTCCTGCCCGATGCAAGAGTTGGGGGCCATGAGAAGACGCTGGTGCTTGACCTGGACGAGCTGCTGATCCACTCCGACTGGACCCGCCAGCGTGGCTGGAAAGTGTTCAAGCGCCACGGTGCAGAGGACTTCTTCAAGGCCATGGCGCCTTACTACGAGATTGTGGTGTACTCCCACCAGCACCACACGTACGTGGACCCCATTATGGACCAGCTGGATCCTCACCACATCGCCCTCCGGCTGTACAGGGCGGACACGCGTTATGAGGACGGCAAGCATGTGAGGGACCTGTCCAAGCTCAACAGGGACATGTCTAAGGTATTGCGCCCGTCCTGTCTTGAAATGGTTTCCATGTCGTTGATTATCCCTTCTGCATCTGTGTGTGCAGCCTTGTTGTTTGGAGCATGCACTTGTTATGCCTGCTGCTTCTATTGTCCCTCAGAGTTCATTCAGCTTCTACTCTGAGTAGCACTGTGCCTCTGTTCCTTGTAGGTGAGTCTCAACACTGCCTGGGACCCAGATTCTCAAACCCAAACTGTGTGTCTGTGTGTACTGGAAGAGGAGCGCTGGACTCTTGATTTCTGAATCATAGTCATGGCATACCAGGGAAAGATATACCTTACTGTGGAAAATATGATGAAGGCAGGGACAACACAGTTGTATGGAAATACAGATGCCGATGCTTGTCTTGATGTGACAAACAATGATACATGCACAGTGTGCGATGCCAAAGAACAGTATACATGCACTACAACATGATGCACTTGAGTAGATTTCCTACCGGATCTGTATCCCCTATGAATGTGCACCCCTTACTGGGTAGTTGCTGAGAAAGAGATCAGTGCAACTCTGCATGACGTTCCACTGCTAATTTGGCACTCTGCTTTCCCATGGATGGCTTCCATGCATGCAGAATACTGCAAGTGACGATCCTTGCATGTAGACTGGCTGCTTGACGAAAGCCAAAAGGGGCCTGGACACTTTTGTCAGTGAGCTGCATCCCATCTCGGATTGAACTGCTCTGCCAGGTACTGTTCTTGTCTGCCAATGCCGAGGCCTATGCCCTGCAGCCGGACAACGCTATAAAATTGAAGCCCTGGCACAAAGACCAAGGCGACACCATGCTGCTGGACCTCATACCCTTCCTGCAGTACTTGGCGTTCAAAAGGGCGGATGTGCGGGATGTGGTGCGTGCTTACGATGACTGTGACATACCTTCCACGTTCCGAGCGCGCATGCAGCAGATGGAGGCCAAGAAGGTGGATACAAAGGGGAAGAAGGGCTTCTTGTCCACCATCGCGAGGCAGTGATGTAGACACGGTTGGCGATCTGACTATTGGGGTATTTATGCATCTTGCAAATAGTGTCAGGCGAAGTGCAGGGAGCAGTGCAGAGCGTGGCATTTGGGGCTGCGAACTGCAGGAGGCTGATTTGCAGCAGCTGGTAGCATAGTGCGCAGGGGGATCCGCGTCCGAATCGTTATTTAATGGAGCCATGCTTGACCCACTGGGCTGAGTGTGCTCATGGTTTTTGAACGGGGACTGTGTTGCCATGTCTATTTCTTGTGTTGTGCGGGCTTGTTTATGTTGCCGTGGCTGGAGAATTCAAGGAAAGCCTGGATGGCTTATGTCGCTGCGCCCGGAAAACGAGGATTGTCCGATACCTATCATTACCGGATGTGAAGGTCATGAAGGGCACTAGGGACCAAAACCCTAAAATCTAAGCCAACTAACCCGAAAATGACATTTTGTGGCCTTCATGACCTTCATGACTTCATGACCTTGTGGCTGCATGACCTCCATTACCTTCATCAGCCTGATCACCTTCATGACTTCATGTCTGGAAATGAAGGGTATCGGCCATCGGAAGATACCCCTACTCAACTTATTGTTGCATCCCACAGGCCGCTCAAGCTATTGCAGGCTGTTGCAGACTGTTCGCTGCAGATCCGTTCATCGCACAGAAGCTGTGCTTCCATGTGTTTGGTCGAGTGGTCAAGTTTAAACCTCAACGTGTGCTTGTACAATCCTATGATATTTCCCCAGGTGTTTGCCGTGGCTCTGTGCTCACAGCGATTTGGTGGCAAGATGATTCTCATCACAGCTCAATGGGGCTTCCATAGTTGGATGATCCTGACACACCATTGTGAGATATAGTGACCCCTTTCCCAAATGGATACTCTCCAGGTGTGGAATCTCACAAGTGTTCCAACTGAAGTTGTAACGTTCTCTACCCTTGCGAGACCGCGATTGGCACTGCAACCTGTCGCAATGCCGTGCACCTGCATGCTAAAGAACAGGTCCGTACTGAAACAGCATAGATATGGATGAAGAGAATCCGGGGCGAAGGGGCTCAGTTACCGTCAATGGCACACTCCCTACTTCCCGTCACAGGAGGACATACCCTTCGCGGAGATACCTTCACGCTAAAAGGAAAAGAATACTGTGCAAAAGGCCTCTTGGAAAGCAACATCTTTCCGCAGTGCGCAAGAGTGCAACAGTGCCATCGCGCTGCAGGAGTGTTCCTGGTATTAGCAGCGTGAAACAGATGCATCATTGCTTTGAGGCATAAAGCCTGCATACCACCTGCTTGTGACAATTACAATCAACTGAATCAGCAACAGAGAGCTAAGCACATCCCGTCCCAAGGAGGTGTGTGCGATATTCTATTCCATACGATGGAAAGATGTTGTACACTCTCGTAGTGCAAGAAGATGAGAGCAGAGCACAAGATCAACAAAATCATGTGCTTGGGACCATAGCCCGACATCCCCGGTTTGGTGCAAGGGTTTTGCTTAGTCCTGTGACAAATGCAATGAAGACGAGAATTAGGCGTGCTGATGTGCACGGAAGAGTAAGGTTCGCGGAAACCACAGTGCCGTGACACATTTGCTGACGAATTTGCCTGGTCAGTCAGAAAGCTTCGGCCTGAACTCAGCCTTCCCGGAAGCTGCACCGAGCGCCGGACTACCTTCCGCCACCTCCTGTTTAACCGCATGCGGCCAGGCGGCCACAGCTGTGGCCACAGCGGATTGCATTCACGGCGCGAATTCCAACCCGAATTGCGCTCCGAACCACATCACCCGTGGGCCCATGTCAGCCCGAGCTTCCGCACCCGCTGCACAAATGCCAAACGGGGCCCTCAAGGGGCCAAGGAGGCAGCTTCCTAATCTCCATCCCCGCTCTCCGCCGCACAGAAATCGGACGCCTGGGTCGCGACGCAGGGGCGCGCCCACCTCCCACAACCCGCCCAAAACCGCGACCACCTGCGCGCAGCCCAGCAGCTGCAGCACCCACGAGCGCCGCATCCGCACCGCGCACGGCCGCCGCGCCTCTGTTCCGCACGGCCGATAGGCTGCGGGCATCGGGCAGCCGCCTTCGAGGCATCGGCGATCGCTGAGCGCACGCAGGGGCGGCATCTGGGGGCTGGGCCTCCCGCCGGGGCCGGCGCCGATCCTCCGAGCCCAGGGGAGCGAGCGGGAAGGGAACGTGCTGAGAAAGGTGCGCGCGAGTCGCAGATGGGATCGCCGGCGCAAAAACAACGGCTAGGAATCTGGTGCCCAATGTGGCGCCCAATTTTTTACTTGCCAAGTATTCCTCAGCCCCAGAGGTGGGAAGCGCGGAAGGCGGCCAATTCGGCCGAAGCCTGTAGCCGGGTGGTGGTGGGGGGTGGGGGTTGCTTCGGGTTCATGGCTCTGCTGCGGGGCGGAGGGCTTGGGATCGGCTGCCACGTGCATGGGCCGTCCAATGCCGGATGCCCATTTCCAGATGGCCTTAAGACGGCCTGGGGATTGCGAAGCTGCCCCAGGAGGGCGTCGGAAGTCACAAACCCTGTGAAGCCTTAAGGCTTCAGGCCACAAGCTTGAGGCCCTTGGTCGGGCCGCGTTGCGGGTGGGGGGTGGGGAGCTTGGCGCCCCGAATTGGAGTGGGCTGCGGGGCCAGTTTGGCCACGACCCGCGCCGCCAGAGTGCCGAGAGGCGAGGATGCTGGCACCCGGCCGGCGCACCAGGCGCCCTGGAAATTGACCACTCATCGGCGCCACAGGGTGCTGGCTGGCTTCCGTGTGGTTCCCTGCACATTCTGTGGGAGTCCCACGATGGGACGCTGATGTCGTTTCCGACGCTTCGACGAAGCTTCGACGCGGCAGCGCGCGTCCCCAGTGCGATTCCGTCAGTTGTGTATGTCGCACACGCGTGCGCGCGAGCTGGCGTGTCATCATGTACGACAAACCGCCTTGCGAATTGCTTACTAAGCAATTTGATCGATGTATTAATAGTACATCGATGCAAGGTGATCGTGCCGTGCCGTCGTGGCAGCGAAGAGTTTGCACTTGTTTCCACATGCGCGTGTGATGGCATCGGTGCGCACATTACATGTGTGTCAATGTGCGTGCACGTGTGCTGGGCAGCGCACGTTTTGGCACGACAGACAACAGCAATCAGCGCGAGTGATGTACTGATCCCCACAAATCGCCGCGCTGCGAAAGGGCGTCGGTCAACTGAGGTACCACCAGGTACCACCTTGATTGGAGTCTTTAGCATGCAGGTGTTTGGGCTCCTTTCCGAGAAGAGCCCCACTGAGGGCAACAAAACTTAGCTTCGCACACCATATCATGTATCATGCAGCGCACCAACTACGCCGTGAAAAAGTTCCCTGTGGTTGATAGTAAATTTTTAGAGAACACTGTTGTAGGCACCAATTAGGATACAATAAGGCCAGGTAATTTGTTGCGGTGCACAAGTTCTGGGTTTGGGCACAGTACCGGACATGGCACTCTTGTGTTATTGTGTGCACGGCACTGATCCCTTGCAGTTGTACTACTCCAAGAGCCTAACACCAGTTCGGTGCGGTATTGGACAATATTGGGCACCGCTTGGAACACCACCGCTGGGCCTGAAACCGCGACAGCTTTTTGTACTAGTTGAACTTTTAGGCGCTGCTTTGGCAATACATCACAATGGTGGACTGAATGGTTTCCTGATGCGATAGACGTCTGGCATCCGAAAACCAGTTTTCCCGGTTGATTGCTGGCCTCTCATTATGTAACAGAAATCTGAATGAACTGCCCATGGCGCATACTCCAATCGAAATCTTCGAGCCCTTTCTCTGATGCGATCCGGCGGGAGCAGCCGCTGTCCATGTTCATTGATGCCAGATTGCGGATTGCAGGCATTTGCCACTCCAGTCTCTGGTCAAATGGCTAGCACATACGGTCTTGGCGGGGAACAAGCACGAATTTAGCCGCGAGTCTAGTCACGTGAACACCGCGTGTCCAACTTGTTAGTGTACCGTTTGTGATGTTGATATTGTTAATTCTCTATTGGAATAGCATGGAAGCCAAATGTTACTAATATTTACAATTACACAATGCAATATGCAATACATATAATAAATTGATGTTGCGTAAAAATTGGCATTAGTTAGCCAGCAAAGTGAGTAATACATAAGGCTTGGAACTAGCCAAATTTGACACCGAATAGACAACAAAGAGCACGTGATTTTCAGCATTCTTCGCGATTGAAGCCAGGACAAAACTGCTCAAACGGCTGAGTTATTGCAATTACGTGCTCCCTGCATTGCCAAAATGAATACGAATGTTAGCGCCTGGTTCTTACATGCGCCCCTATTGGTGCAGGGCATGGGAAGCGCCCGTGAACCGCCCTCCGAGACGTCGGTGCTCAGGAGAATTCTAGGGCAGCATGCAACGACGAGGTCACCTAGCGAGGGAGAAGATCTCTCATCCATGGTAACAACCTCTCTAAGAGATCTATAATAGAAATGTCATCTGCACCCCCTTTTATGCAGAAGTGGGACAACACCGCTCTGTGACGTCTTGTACGACTAAGTGCCGTGTTCTTTCACGTAAGCTGAGCTCCGACAGGCCGGTGGCCTCCGCTCTTTTGTTGCTTCGGATGGCAGACTGGACGGCTCTTGCAGCACTGCAGCCATTCTCTGGCAGCCATCCTCAGTGCTGCATTGCTATGATGCGGTATTCAGAACGGCCATCTACGGACGTGTCGATATTGCAGCTGTGCAGGGTCACCTCAGCCTGGGTTTGACGCGGAGCCACCCTGTTGGATCAGAGTGTTCTGCATCATCGCCTTTGGCACCTCCTGCAGAGCTCCTTAACTTAAATTGAATCCGCCTTGGCTGCAATATTCACACACACGCCTTCTGCCGTTCCACCTTGTGTTGGACTGCACAATCAAAGCCTTGGAGACAGCATGATCGCTATGCCCTTCACTGCATCATTCGTCAACTGCATGTTGAAATCAAGTGAACCAACGCAAGCGTACTCCTGTCCCGAATTG